ACATATTTTTGTAATTAAAAATATGAGCGAAATTATAATTCATAATCTATTTGAAAAATAATTTTATTATTAAAAAATTACACGATTGCGAAATGTATATACGATTATATTAAAGTTACAACCTATAAACGCCTCACTGCTATAAACCCGATTTATCTTATTTATAGAATTTGGGTGGCAAATGAGCAAAAGGTACCTAATATTAAACGGGTATGGTGGCTCATAGACATCTACATTAATTTGTCCTTGACAAAGAATCAAAATGCAGATGCGTTGTCACGCACAACTTGAACGGCTTCGGAGAATTACGCTGCATCACGATAACTTCTTCGAACGAATTCTTCACATACCTCCATTAGAAAAAATGCATTTATTGAGGAATCTGGTGTTGAAACTCTAAATCACCCACCCTACAGCCCTAACTTAGCTTCTTGCGATTTCTTTTTGTTCCCTAGAGTCAATGAAAATATAAAAGTCAAGTTTTTTCCAAGCGCCCAAGAAGCCGAGGCTGCCTACGTAGAAGCGACTTCCGACCTGCCAGAACAGACTAGCAAAAAAGGTTTCCAGAGTTGGTTTAGGCGAATAGAATTTTGTGTAGAGCATGATGAAGAATATTTTGAAAAGATGTAGAATATATATTAAAAGTATCCAGAATACTTTTTGTATATCTCCAAACGTATTGAGTGTCCTACGTATAAGACCAGTAAAGACTGCGACCAGATCAGTATTGAATTTGCAATACAAGCGAATACTTCGAAGCAATAACGAAAAACTAAAAAGAACACACTAATAATAAATAATGAGATTTATTATTAGTGTGTTTTAAGTTGTAATTTCGGTATATAAAGTGTTAATTTTGGTAATTCAATCGGCAGTTTTATTGTCACGAACCCTAAGCTCATAAAATTCGGTGTCAGTAGTGGGATAAAATCATGCCGATTTTATCTAAGGACGACAAGGAGGGTATCCGTACCCAATATCAACGCCAGCAGAAGATGGACCAGAGAAGATTTGGTGGCGCAACACCATAGATGTGGGAGGGTCAGCTGCCAACCATGAAACCATGGATGCATCTGCAGCACCTGTCTTAGGTGCTCTGATGATGATGATGTAGGAGCAGGCCCGCTGGAATGGAATGGAATGAGGAAATGGCTCGTCGGTTGGAAGAGCAGCTGCAGTATGGACGGGAGGAACAGGCACGCTGACAGGAAGTACAGACACGTTGGTTGGAAGAGCAATTGCTCCTCATGAAGGACCTGTACGTTACTTTCTGAAAAGAGATAAGTGAGGTGAAGGATAGGGTTGCTCAATATTATACTACTAAATAATTATTAAACCTTGGATCACAGATGGAATTCTTAGGTGTATCAGAAATAGAAGTAAAATGCAATTAAAGCTTAGGTCCAATCCATCAAATGAAACTCTAAAAATTACTTTCAGACGATATAGAAAGAGCCCCAACTACGTTAATAACCTTATAAAAAAAACTAAAACGAAAATATGACAGAGAACTATTAACTACTGCTGCCAAAAGTTCCAAAGAACTCCGGAAAGGAATAAAAACGGTAACCTATTTCAAAATTTCTGAATCACATTGCAAAGAACTACCTAATATAGGACCAACACAGTCTGAATCTGTTCATTTGGTAAATTGTTATTTTGCTAATATTGGCAAACAATTAGCTAATGATTTTATGAAAGATACGTCTCATGTCTCACAAAGTAGCACTCCCATTAACACGCTAAAACGACATAACACATCTTTTAGGCTCTTGAAGACTGATCCTGGGGAAGTTAATAGTGTGATCATGAGTCTCAAAACAGATAGTGCCCCTGGTTGGGACAATATATCGACCAAATTCGTTAAGATTTGTAGTCCTATTGTTGCGCCCATAATAAGTCATCTTGCAAATCAAAGCTTTAGATTAGGTGTACTCCCTGTAACCCTAAAAAAATCTATTGTTACTCCAGTTCATAAGGGTAGATATAAGATCAATAATTATCGACCCATTTCTCTCTTACCCGTGATTTTAAAAGTCATTGAGAAACTCCTTTATACTCGACTGCGTAATTATCTAGAAAAAATTCAGCAGTATCTCTAGCTCACAGTTTGATTTTAGGCCTGGATTATCTACGGAGGACGCAGTATTGTCCCTCACATACCTTATTACAGATCAAGTCGACCGAGGAAATAAATGCATGGTTGTTTTTCTAGACTTGAAAAAGGTTTTCGATACCGTCTCCCTTCCCACCATTTTACATAAACTAGAGTGCATCGGTGTCCGAGGCGTACCGCTTAAATTGCTAAGCAGTTACCTACAAGAGTGCACCCAAAGAGTAAAAATTGGTACTCACGTGAGTAAAGACATGGACATAACCTTCGGTGTGCCCAAGGGGGAGTGTACTTGCCCCAACTCTATTTCTAATCTATATAAATGACCTCACCAATCTAAGCATTGAAGGTGGTAAAATTTACTCTTACGCCGACGATACCGCGATAGCTTTTTATGGAACTTCGTGGAACAAGGTATAGAGACGAGACGGCCCAAAGTGATCTTTCTAAAATTTCTGACTGGCTAAAAATGAACCTTCTAACTTTGAATATTAATAAAACAAATTATATGTATCAATAAATAAAAGAACTCAAACAAAAAACGATTTACATTAAAACTACATGAATGCGATAAACTAGATTACTCAATTTGTAATTGCAAAACGCTACAGAAGTTTACATCAACTAAATGCTTAGGATTAATATTGGATCATCGACTATCCTGGCATCCATATATTGAATATATGAACGAAAGAGTGCGTAAACTTATTTGGATTTTCAAAACCCTGAGACATGTTACATCACATAAATTAATAAAACAGATATACATTACTTTGGTACAATCTGTCTTAGGATATTGCATCTCTGTATGGGGTGGGGCTACTAAAAGAAAATTCTTGGAGGTTGAACGTGGTTAACGCTGCCTTCTTAAAGTCATGTATTTCAAACCACGATGGTATCCCACTACAGCATTATATAAATTTTGCGACATGCTAACCGTGAGACAGTTATACATTTTAGTGACTGTTCTAAAAATTCGTAAACCTATACCGTTTGACTCCACTGTAAACTATTCGCACGAAAATAGTGTTTGCCAAACGCCAATATACTACAAATTCTGTGTACCTTTACAACAGCATTAACGGTTTGTTGGACATTCATACAACAACTCACCATGATTTCAAAAAATCTGTAACTACTTGGTTAAAAACACAAAATTACGAAGACCTTGAGGCATTACTAGACCTTAGGGTGAACTCGCTCAAAAAGACACACCCACCCTGCTTTCGCGGTAAGTACAGCCTCATTACCGACGATCTCGGATGATGCATCCTATGGAACGTCATAGTAGTGCGGACTTTGCTAACCAGGGCGTTAAGTTCAGTCTAAGTCCGTCTGAGTATGCCAAAGGTATATATGAAGACAGGCATGACCCAACCGTTTTATGCGTGTATTTATTCACACCGGACAAAAGGCTGTTAAGCACTTTGGTCAAGCGTGCATAAAACACGTCGCAAACTGACTGTTTCATACCAGCCTCATCTATACCGATGTACTGTGACACATCCAGATATCGGTATGTTTCAGCCTCGGAAAGGGTCCTTAAACTGATGGGCATAGATAAGTCTATGCCCTCAGAGTTAGCAACCCTTCCCTTTTCAATATGGAGAACCGCACACTTATCCGTCCCCAGCTCTATTCCAATAGATTTGCTAAATTCACAAGTGATGTTTAGTAATTCTATAAGATGGGAGCGACTGGAGGCGAATAACTTGAGGTCATCCATATAGAAAAGATGGGTCACTTTTGTATCTCCTTTCCGAAGCTGAAATCCTCTCCCGAAGCCCTCTAGTAAAGTACTGAGAGGGTTCAGAGAGAGGCAAAACCAGATTGGACTCAGAAAATCGCCCTGGAAGATACCCCTTCTTATTCTTATGTGGTTCTCCGCAGCCATCATCCGCTCGCCCAGATAGCAAATAATCGTACTTCACTGCCCCATACACTGCTTGAGGAAGTCTTCAACTGTACAGTCAATCTTGTACAGCTGGAGGACTATCTTTAGCTATGTATGGGGCACCGAGTCAAATGCCTTTCTGTAGTCTATCCAGGCGGCGGAGAAGATCCGACGGTTGCGTTTCACCACTTTGCCAATGACCACGTCAATGAGGAGTGGTTCCTTGGTTCCACGACCACCGCCCGACATTCATTTTGAGTGCGTGCCATCACCTGATTTAGCTCCAGGTGACGAGTGATTCTCGCGCTCAAAATGGATGTCAGTGTCTTATATATGGTGGATAGACACGTGAAAGGGCGGTATTTGCTCGGGTCTGTGGTATCCTGATCTTTAGGAACCAACTGAGAGATCCCAGTAGTGAAGGGGCTCGGGAGCGACTTCTGATCGAGAGCCTCTTGAAACTGTCGGGCGAGAACAGCGTGACACACTACGAACCCCTTCAGCCGGTAATGATGCAGCCCGTCGAACCCCGGACTTTTCCAGTTCGGGGCCCTACGCACCGCCTCAGCCACGTCTTCAGGCGTTATGGTGACGGGGTCCATAGGCGTAACACTTGCACTCTGGCTCGCCACAACTTCCATTCAAGGACCCTCGCTGTGGTTTACGGGCTATGACCACAGGCCACGCCAAAATGCGACAGTGTCAGCCTGATTCGGTCCTGGGCCCGCTCCACATACCTCTGGTCGCTGCAATGATTTATAGAGCCTCTTCTGATCACTTTGGAAGAGACGATTCTGGTTGAACCGCCTTGACCTCTCGCTAAATCGTCGAATCCGCTTCCCCCCAAGCAGCGATTTTTTGCTTCGGGTCATCTATGCGCTCCGTTAGTTTCTGCGTGATATCCGGCTGGGACAAACTAATATTTGTCCCAGCAAAACGCCATTCTTACGGTGCGCACAACTCTCGGTCTATTATTACCCGACCTGAAGCTTGTCAGTCTGCCGATAAGGGCCCTTGTCTTTGCGATACGGTCCTCGATTCTTTTTCTCCAGGCTGGGATGGCGCTACTTTGTTGAGTAGCACGTCCAGCCATGGGAAGTTTGGCGCCAATAATACGGCATACAGCCAGTGCCAGTCCCGGCTGGCTTCCAAATAGGTCACCAGCATTGGGTTAAGAGCCCGCACGACAGCCCGATTTCGCTTGCTAAGGGGTATGCGGGGAAGTCGCGGTCGATTTTCGCTCCTCATTTTCTCTAGTTCGTGGAAGACTATTCCATCATCGTCTGAATTAACCACAAACGGAATATTGACGGCAGCATCCACATATGCAGTTTGCTGCGCATCTAGTGGCACCGCATTTCCAGCCGTAGCATTTCGATTCGATGAGGGAACAGCCTCACGTCGTAGTCGTTCGAGTTCGGCGTCACCAAATATGTTGGAGCACAGGATGTACCGAACTCGGTCCGCCAGGTTTTGCTCAGTGACGGATAGAGATGGCTCCAGCTCTGCAAAAAAGCGATGCATCCTAGCCCAATACGCCAAACCTCCAACTTCTCCCCCTTTCGCCCTAAAATACGCCCGCAATGCGTTAGTATTAATTTTGATTGTCCATCGCATGCGGCGTACTCCACCAGTGGCGGGTGCCTATTGCTGGGCCCGCGAAGACCCTGCCGATACCAAGCCAGCTGGTGGGGATGATTGATGCGAGGGACTGATGGGTGGTCGTGCATCACCTCTCGCTCAGGTGGCGGTTCGCATGCTGTCGCGTCCAGCGCCAGCTCCAGACGCGCCATGGCGACCTCCAGGCAGCGGCCCTTTGCGCGTTTTTCTGTATTCTATCATCCATATTAGCGGCCGTCATTTAACGGGAGAAGCCCAGACCCGGCGCCATTTTATGGTGAGGCCATGCCAACCGGGCTTGCACCTTCGATTTTTGCCGAGGCACGGCACTAACACCTCTTGGCAAGGTGCTGACTGACTGCGCTCGTTGTCACATAATACTCACCGATGGGGTCGTCAATTCCCTACGCCGTTTTATTTTTATTATTTTTATTGGTTTTTATTATTATTATACGATCTGCATTAACGCTCCTTTTAGGGTTTTAAGATTAGGCATCGGCTGATCGCAAGATGCCGCTCTTTTGTTAAAACTGTTAGGTGGCGACGTACTATCGCTGTCGTATCCAAAATTACGGCTTTTTTAATTTTGTTCCTCACCCTCACTGAAATGCCCAGCTTAGCTAAATTGTCAGTAAGGGATTTAGGAACAACTCCCGTGGTAGAGAGAATCAGCGGGACGATAAGTACCTGCCGCTGTCGCCTTAACTATCGGATTTCTTCAGCTAACCGCTGGTACTTAATCAACTTTTTAGTGCTGTACTTCTGCACATAATGCGAGTTTGGAATGCCAATATCAACCAACCACGTCCCCTTCTCCTCCTTTTCTACTAATATTATGTCCGGTCGATTATGCTCAACGGTCCGGTCAGTTAAAACTGACCTCTCCCAGTAAAGTTCGGCAGAATCATTCTCGAGTACCGGGGATGGATTGTATTTCCAGTAGGGTTCTGTCTACTTAAGGAGACCGTATTTTAGTGCCAGCTCTTGGTGCATAATTTTTGCCACGTTGTCATGGCGCTGGGTGTACTCGGTTCCAGGAAGAGTCTGGCAGCCGCCAGTTATGTGCTGGATGGTCTCTGGCTTTTGATGACACCGTCGGCACTGGTCATCTTCGATACCTGTCTTGACAATGTAATTAAGATAATTTTTCGTAGGCACAACCTGATCCCGAACCCCCACCACGAATCTCTCAGTTTCAGCAAAGATCTCACCATGTCTGAGCCAGTTGTTCGACGCTTCAATGTCGACATATGGTTGACTCAGTCCATTAGCGAATCGACCGTGAAGAGGTTTTGAGGCCCATTGCTGGAGTTTGGCTTCTTTGTATTCAGCGTCAGTCTCTAACTATAGAAAATTGTCGGCATGAGGGAGATCGAGCGTTGTTAGTCGGTCATCAGCCTTCATTACTGCTTGATGCAGGGGAGAGGACATTTGCGAAAGAAAATAACTTCGAAGACTCTGAATCTGTTTAGCACACAATCTACGAATATCTATCAGTCCTCTACCGCCATTGGCTCGAGATAGAATTACTCACTCAACTGCTGATTTTGGGTGATGTATAAGATAATTTAGTAAGCATGACGCGAGTAGACCTCTCAATTTTTGCCAGTTCAGTATCTGACCAGTTAACTACTCCAAACGTGAAGGTTAATACTGGGATGGCAAAGGTGTTAATTGTTTTAGTGAGGTTGCGTCCATTTAGGCCTGAACTGAGGATTCTTTTAAGCCTTTGATTGTATACTTCAATCATCTTCGGTCTAATTTCACCGTGATTGATTCGAAGTGATTGGATGATGTCTAGATATTTATAGGTGTCATTTTCTGTCATCGCGTCGATCTTTCCACCTCTCTGAAGGTCGAAACCTCTCGATGACTCAATTCGTCTACGGTAAACATTTACGGTTGAAAAAGTCCAAATGACATATTAATGTCACTAGAGAACTGTTCAGTGCAGTGAAGCAGCGTTTGGAGCTCTTGTTGATCATTAATGTATATAAATTAGGTGAGTCAACTCTCCGTGATATCCTTGAGCCCCTTTTATAAGATATCCATGTCCTGTTTCATTAAGGAGTGAAGAGAGGGGGTTGAGTGCGAGGCAGATCCATAAGGGGCTAAGGCTGTGTCCTTGAAAGATTCCTCTTCGTATCGGTATGTACCCTGTTGTGATCTTCTGGTTAACGCCATGGTTCAGATGAAGAGAAGTTGCCCAATTCGTAAAAAATAGAGTGATAACTTCAGTGTCGATCTTATAAAGTTTGAGTACCTCCCTCAACCAGGAATGCGGCACGGAGTCGAAAGCTTTCCTGTAATCAATGTAGGCCATGTGGAGTTTCCGCGACTTCTGATACGCTTGCCCTGTGATAACTGAATCTATCGTGAGTTGTTCTTTGCATCTCAATGATCTCTTAATGCACCCTTTCTGCTCTATTTCCAGAAGAGAGTGATGGTCTAGATGTTGGTAGACCTTGTTAGAGAGGCAAGAAGTCAATGTTTTATAAAAAGTGCTGAAGCATGTGATCGGACGGTATTTCGCAAGGTCCTGTGTATTTGCATCTTTGGGAAGTAGATATGTTATCCCAACGGTTAGATAGGAGGGCACTAGTTGGGGGTCGCGTTGGAAGAAATTGGTGTGTAGAACAGTGAGCTTCTTAATTTAAAAATTGTGGAACTTATCGGGTCCCGTGGCTCCAGGGATTTGTACAACGCTTAGTGACATCCTCTTCTGTAATTTCCACATGTTGCATTTCGGGACCTCAAGCATACGCTGTTCTTCTCTTGTAATCCATGTTGCGGTTTCATTGTGGATCACCTTCTCTGACCAGATGCTACGCCAGAATTTCTCAACTTCCTCCTTCCGCGGAGGAAGTCCACTCGTATCATTAACGCTTTGTTGGAGTCGCCGATAGAATAGCTTTTCGTTTTTTGTGAAAAGATTGTTCTCTTCTCTTCTCTTCCGCAATTTTCGGTACCTTTTTTAGTCGGTTGGATTTGACTGCTAGTTTTTGTCGAAGAGTATCTAAGATGTCTACAGCTGTTCTGTTTGGTGGGTCATACTTCGTGTGCTTGGATATCTCCTTCTGAAGCACATGATATGTGGCTACAACTTTTTTTACTTCTATTGCCACGCATATACTGCGTTAGGCGGCCTAATTGGCGACGAAGTGTGTCTACTTCATGGGTGAGACGGCGCTCCCAAGCAGGAGTTTTGCTTTGAGTAGAAACCCGCACTGTAGAATCACCAATTTTCCCGCCAATTGATCGGACTATCGCTACACCTGCCGCATAGGTGGTCGTATGAATTGCGTCAAATGTATTTTCAACTTACGCTAGATCAATATAGTGTTCATCAAATTCACCGCGATTGCCAGTTTTTTTTTTACTATTTTGGCGCCCAATGGTTGGTCGTAATAAGGGGTTAGTACCCATAAACTCAACTAAGACTTTTTCAAATTCTTCTCTAAGGATTCGTAAGGTTTCATTCTCTACTATTTGTTCCCTTCGTTCTTCGTAAGGTGCGGTGCTTACTTCAGTAAGTGAATCCGGAATAATTTCTGATGAAGCATCTGCGGTAGGCTCTTGGGCACTAATATCTTCAGATACATCGCGACTAGGATAGAGCTCTTTAGCAACTTCTGTTTTGAGTTGCTCCAGCCTTTCCGTCACAATCTAGCAGGTACGTAGAATCTGACGTTTCTGGTCCATGACTCTTTGTTCTGTCACTTTTTCACGGAGTTCCGGATATTTCAGAACAAATAGTCGATACATCTCGACCCTATGTCCTATCAGATGTTCTTCCAATCTGGTTGCTTTATAGTAACAGCGCATGCCATCTTCATTCATTTGTACATTCCACGTCAAACGCTGTCGAGGGAGACCCGCCTTAGTGGTCATGGGTTGTGAGCCACTAGAAACACTTAAGGTGGGGGGATGACTGAAAGGGGGTGAAGGATTGTTTGGAGGGGGAGGGGAGTCAAGGATGTCAGCAGTAGTATTTTGATTGACCGTAGCCTGCTGATGTAACTGACGGCCACTGACGGTTCGCATGCTGCCACGTCCAGCGCCAGCTCCAGACGTACCCCGGCGACCCCCGGGTAGCGGCTTTAATCGCTTATTTCCATGATCCATTCTCCATATAGGGTTAGGCTAATACAACGGGGAGCGCCAAATTCCCCGAGGACACCGTTGGTCTACAAAGCTTAATTTTTTTAGTACCTAAGCTTAACTGGCACCGAATACGGTACAACATTCTTTAGCAGAGGGTACAGACTGATTGCAGCAGTGAAAATCAATAATACTTTAAAGAATAAAGAAGATTGACTTTCACTACTGGGCGGTGGTGCCTATTTATTACTATTATAATTATTATGTGGGGTATCTATATAGTTTTCTCATCTGGTTGGGTTCTATAAATATATAATTATAAATTAAAATGAAAAGATAAATATATATATAAATATAATTAAAATAAAATACATACAAAAATACATAAATAAATAAAAGCCCAACCAGATGGAAGCCCTCGGTAGGGGAGACCAAACGGCCGAGGGTTAGAAGGAAAGGGAAAGAAACCGGCGGACGATGCGAGCGGTATCGAGAGCACCGCCTTCTGCATTTGAGCCCGGAGCGGTCCGTCACGGAGTCCCAGTCACCTCAGATGACCCGAGAGGCTGACTGAGATTAACCCGTTTGCATACACGACTACAGGAATAATTTCGGTAGGCAGACCACCCCACATGTCGGTCAGCTCGTGAGCCAGGTCCAGATATTTTGATTACTTATCTGTATCGGCTTTGACGTCATAACGAGAACCTCGTCAGGTTCTCGTCATACGGAAAGGTAATGTCGACCAAAAATATCCTTAACTGTGCCCGATCTATCAGCAGAATATCAGGCTTATTCGCAAGAATAGTCCTGTCTGTGATGATGGCCCAATCCCAATAGAGCCTGACGCGATCATTTTCGAGCAAGGCTTCCGGCAAGTACTTGTAATACGGCAATTTCCGGTCCACGAGACCGTATTTCAGAGCGAGCTCCTGGTGTAGAATTCTGGCTACTAGGTTGTGCCTGTGCAAGTACTTAGAGATAGAAAGCGCCGAACAACCGGAGATGACATGCCTAAATGACTCCCCGGGATGGCTACAAGCTCGACAGACGTCGACACTGCCATCTTTTAGGATGTATCTCCGATAGTTGTTGGTCTTAATAACCTGATCCTGTATCGCACAGACAAAACCCTCGGTTTCTCCGAAGAGGTCACCGAAACGTAGCCAGTTGAGGGAGGCGGCTGTATCTACGTGGGGCTCATGTAGAGCCCTGTAGTACCTCCCGTGGAGCTCCATCTCCTTCCATACGGTCTCCCGGTCGGAAATGCTCTGTACTGCCGGGTCCTGCCATTGCTCATTGGCTAAGGATAGAGGGGTAAGTGCTTTATCACTAGAAATGACGTCAATATAGAATGGATTATCCGATCTCGCCAGGAAGTAATCACGGAGGCTGCACACTTCGCGATTACGCATGGTGAGCGCGCTCAAGAAGCCACGCCCACCATGCTTTCGCGGCAAGTACAGCCTCATTACCGACGATCTCGGATGATGCATCCCATGGGACGTCATTGTGGTGCGGACTTTTCTATCCAGGGCGTTTAGTTCAGTCTGACTCCACCTGAGTATGCCAAAGGTATACATGAGGACAGGCATGACCCAGCCGTTATATGCGTGTGTCTTGTTTACACTGGAAAAATGCTGTGGGAGCGACTGGAAGCGAATAATTTGAGGTCATCCATATAGAAAAGGTTGGTCACATTTGTACCTCCTTTCCCAAGTTAAAATCCCCTCCCGGAGCCCTCCAGTAAAGTACTGAGAAGGTTCAAAGAGGCAGAACCAGATTGGACTCAGACAGTCGCCCTGGAATATACCCCTTCTTATCCTTATGCGGCTTTCCGCAGCCGTCATCCGCTCGCATAGATGACGTAGGATCGTACTCCACTACCCCATACACTGCTCGAGGAAGTCTCGAACTATACAGTCAATCTTGTACAGCTCGAGGACCCTCTTTAGCCATGTATGGGGCACCGAGTCAAATGCCTTCCTGTAATCTAACCAGGCGGCGGAGAAGTTCCGATAGTTGCGTTTCACCACTTTGCCAATGGCCGCGTTAATGAGGAGTTGTTCCTTGGTTCCACGACCCCCGCCTCGACATTTATTTTGAGCGCGCGACATCACCTGATTTGAGTCCAGGTGACGAGTGACTCTCGCGCTCAAAACGGATGTTAGTGTCTTGTATATGGTCGGTAGACACGTGATGGGGCGGTATTTGCTCGGGTCTGTGGTACCCTGATCTTTAGGAACCAAATGAGTGATCCCAGTAGTGAAGAGGCTCGGGAGCGACTTCTGGTTGAGAGCCTCTTGAAACTATCGAGCGAGCACAGCATGACACACCTTGAACCCTTTCAGCCAGTAGTGATGCAGCCCGTCAAGCCCCCGACTTTTCCAGTTCGGGTCCCTATGGACCGCCTCAGCTACGTCATCCGGCGTTATAATGACGGGGTCCATGGGCGTAATACCCGCACACTGACTCACTACAAAGCCCTTCCGCCCAAGGGCCCTCGTTGTGGTTTACGGGCTCTGACCACAGGCTGCGCCAGAATGCGACCGTGTCGGCCTGATTCGGTACTGGGCCCGTTCCACTTACCATTGGTCGCTCTAATGATTTATAGAACCTCTTCTGATCACTCTGGAAGAGACGATTCTGGTTGAACCGTGTCGTCCTCTCGGCATATCGCCGAATCCGCTTTACCCAAGCAGCGATTCTCTACTTCAGGTCGTCTATGCGCTCCGTCAGTTTTTGCATTATATCCGGCTGGGACAAACTAACATTTGTTCCAGCCAACGCCATCCTGACGGTGCCCAAAATGCTCGGCCTTGTATTGCCTGACCTGAAGCATATCAGTCTGCCGATTAGGGCCCTTGCCTTTGCGATACGTTCTTCAATTCTTGTTCTCCAGGCTGGGATAGCACAACTTAGTCCAGTAGTGCGTCCAGCCGTGAAAAGTTCGGCACCTATAATACGGCAGACTGCCAGTGCAGCGCCAAAGAGAATTGAGTCCGTCTCGCAAAGGTCTCGGCTGGCTTCCAAATAGGTCACCAGCATTGGGTTCAGAGCCCTCACGATAGTCCGATTTCGCTTGCTGAGGGCTGAGCGGGTAAGTCGCGGTCGATTTTCGTGAGGCGTACTGCGCGTTTCCAAAATCACCTCATCCAATGTACTCCTCAATTGCTCCAGTTCCAGTTCCTGGGCGACTGTTCGTTCGTATCATCGTTTGAATCAACCAAAACTGGGGTATTCACGGCGGAATCCACGTTTGCCGGTTCCTCTGCAAGTTGTGGCGCCGCATCCTCAGCCGTAGCATTTTCATCCGATGAAGGAACAGCCTCACGTCGTAGCCGTTCGTGTTCGGTGGCATCAAATGTATTTGAGCGTAAGATATACCGAGCTCGGTCTGCCAGGTTTTGCTTGGTGACGGTTAAAGATGGCTCCAGCTCAGCAAAAAGTCGATGCATCCTTGCCCGATACGCAAAACCTCCAATTTCTCCCCCTTTCGCCCTATAATACGCCCGCAATGCGTTGCTGTTCATCGAGATTATCCAACGCATGCGGCGTATTCCACCAGTGGCGGGTGCCGATTGCTGGGCCCGCGAAGACCCTGCCGTCACCAAGCCCGCTGGTGGGGATGATGGATGCGAGGGCTCCCTTTGTACCCCCTTTGTTTCGCTACGTGGATTCAAAGTGCCGCCGGTCGATGGCCCACAATATCGAGGCTGTCATGGAGGCGAACGGCTGGAATAAAAGTCAGGCCATAACTGCATTCACCTTAGGCCTGCGCGACCAAGTTTTAGCTATTTTGGAAGCTCTCGGTAAAAAAGTAGGCTAACAAACAGCTACTTGAGGCATTGTAGGCGAGATATGTCGACGCTCACCTGGAAAACGACTTTCGTGCTCAGCTCAAAGATCACGTACAACGCAGCAACGAAAACCTGCAGCAGTGGGCCCTTGAGGTGAAGAAGCTGGTTCGAAAAGTATACCAGTCTGTACCTGTGCCCATTGAAGGGAACCTGGTGCAGACATTCATCGACGGCACACGCGACCTTGAAGTCAGAGCTGCTGTGAGGCTCTGGCACCACGAGACGCTTAAGTATGCCTTGAACTATGCACTGGAGGTGGAAGCCATGCGGCAGGATTATCGTTTCCATCGCATCAGGGAGGTTGCAGCAGTTACAGTTCACGACCGCAATAAAGGATACAACCCCAGATTCTATGGCTTTGGGGAAAGGGGCCATCTTCAATCCAGCTGTCCTAAGCAAACTTCGGAAAGGGAAATTGATCGATCTCGAGAGGGTAGTTCGGCTAACAGCACCGCCCAGCAGCAGTAGAGAAACTGATGTAAAAGGAGCCCCTAGTTTTTCGATCTCACAAACCCACGATGGGAACAGCCTAATCCCATCAAGGCTAAGATTAATGGAATGCCGTGTAAACTGACTGTTGACACTGTAGCCTCTCGCACGGTTGTCAGTTCCCAACTTATAAGTCAGTTCCTGGGGACTCCACATACAACCAAAAACACATTATTTTGGTAACAACCACCAGTCAGCGCATACCCATTCTAGAAGAGAAAGAGAAGGAGTTGAAGCTAGGCAACATGTTATACTTGCATAATGTCATCGTGGATGATAGTAGAGTACTGCATCCTGTACCTAGACTTTATGAGAAAGAATTGTTGCGAGATCGATGTAAAGCAAATTGTTTTGAAATGTGGATAAGAGGAACTTTTGTGGAATAGGCGTTACCAGGAAATGTTTACAGCCTTAAGAAGATTTTCCACCGAGATCGGAAACGATTGTACCGGTTAGTCTTCCTCGGAATTCAGGTCAAGCTAATCGTTGTGTACTCTTGGAAAATGTAGACAATGACCTTCCATGAAAAGTGGCTCGAAACGCGGTCAGAACCACGGACATCTTAGGAGTACGTGTGCTGAACCTTTGTGATCAGGAGCAGATTATAGAAAAAGGCACACTGGTTGGTACTTGTAAGGAAGTTGATAGGTTGCGTCGGTGCCCACTTTTATAAGACTATCGCAGCGTTCTCTCCCCGACTGAGATGGTCAAGGTGAAGAAGTTTAAGCTTACTCAAATACGCCGATGTTTTCTCGTCGAACGATGCTAACGTAGGGAAGACTGGCTTAGTTTAACACAAAATAAATACAGGAAAAGAGTTGCCTATCCGTCAGCGGCCAATAAGATTGCCAGTAGCACGTGAAAAGGAGGCGGAAACCATGATTGAGGAAATGTTTAAGGGTGTTGTTATTGAAACTTCATCTAGTCCATGGTATTCACATGTGGTGCTGGTAAGAAGAAGGACAGCAGCATGTGGTTTTGTGTTGACTACGGCCGTCTGAACGACGTTACGAAGAAGGACAGCTATCCCTTGCCAAGAGTTGATGAAACGCTGGACGTGCTTACAGGAGTAAAGTCGATTAGCACACAGGACCTGAAAAGTGGCTATATGCAAGTTGAAATTGACTCTAAGGACATGGAAGGACATGGAAAGCTGATTCTTGACAGGAAATGGTCTGTGGCAATATAAAGTTATGCCGTTTGGATTGTGCAATGCTGCGGCAACGTTTGAAATGTTAATGGAACTTGTACTTTACGAGCTAATTGGAGATGCATGTCTGTTCTACTTGAATGAGATGATCGTCTTAGGCCGTACATTTAAGGAACACCTTCAAAACGTGGAACGCTTACTGATGAAGATCCAAAGTGCCAACCTCAATTTGAGTCCGAAGAAATGTTCACTATTCAAACAGCAAGTTAGCTTTTTGGGGTATATATTGTCGGAAGAAATCCGCACGGATCCAGAGATCGCCGCTCTTAAAGATTGGCCCGTTCCAAAAGACAAGACACAGGTTAGAGCATTTTTGGGTTTGTGCTCCTATTATCGGAAGAAGCATCGTTCTGCTGGAATTGAAGTTGCGGTATAGCATTCCAGGAGCTCAAGAACCGTCTGTGCAAAACACAAATTTTGGGGTACCCTGATGCGTGCAAGGAATTTATAGTTGACAAAGACGCAAGCAATATAGGTCTTGGTAATGTCTTGTCTCAACGGAACGGTGATCAAAATATTGTGATAATATAATTCAGTAAGTCGTTGTCAAAGCCGAAAAGAAACTATTGTGTAACAGGACGGGAATTCCTGGCTGTGGTTAAGTAGTTGCCGTATTTTAGCAAATATCTTCTGGGCGGAAATTTTACTTACGAACTGATCATGCTGCACTGATATGGACAAGTTGCGCGATGGTGTGCAATACAGCAGGAATACGACTTTGTGATCTAACATCGCAACAGGAAATCTCATGGCAACGCATATACATTGCCAAGAAGACCTTTTCCTGAAGAATGCAAGCATTGTTCTAGACAAGTGGGTATAGAATTGGTATTTGTAAGGATAATCATGACGGACCACTTCAGCAACGAGTGTAGGAACATCCTAGAACATGCGCACCATGAAAGATAATAACCATTGACGTGGTAGGGCCGTTTCCGGAAAGTGACAGTGGTAACAAATATTTCATGTTTGTGATGGATTACTTAAATAAGTGGCCAGAAGTCTTCACCATTCCAAATAAAGAAGCTTCAACAATTGCAGATAAACGAGTTCATGAAGTATTTTTGTCGTTCTGAAGTACCTTTGGAGATTCACAACGATCAAGGAAGGAATTTTGAGTCTCAAATATTCCAGGAAACTTGCCGAGTTATGGGTACTCATAAAACAAGAACAACTTGTTATCGCCCGCAATCTGATGGAATGGTAGAACGATTTAATCAGACATTGGAGAGGTACCTAGCAAAAGTTGTGGAAAATCAGCAACGAGATTGGGAGAAGCACATAAAACCGTTTTTGTTGTCATATCGAAGTACTGTTCACGAAAGTACATCAGTGACACCAGCTTTCGCAAACTTTGGAAGAGAATTATGGCTGCCTGCGGACCTGATCACTGGAATACTACCTGATGCCCCACGTAGTATAACCGATTAAGCAAATAACAATCGGTCCAGCAAATGTCTGAAAAGATGAAAATCCGGTATGACCACAAAATTAACAACAAAAGTTTCGACGAAGGTTCACTAGTATGGTTGTGCAATCCAGTCTGCAGCAAAGGGAATTCTCCTAAGCTTCAAGCTAAATGAGAAGCACCTTACCGGATTGTGACATGGATCAATGACGTAACCTACCGGATGCAGAAAGGTGCAAGAGGTACTCGTAAGATCGTCCATGTGGATCAACTGGCGCGTTATTATGGGGCTAACAATGCTCGGAACGAGCATGTGTTAGGAGGGGGCAGTGTTGTTAGCCATAATTAATGCCATTAGAGCCATCTAGTATAGAGTAGCGGAACTAGGAAAGCTTTCTAGAAAATTCCATGCTAGAACTTTCCCACTAGCGCCATTAGTATCGAGTGGCAGAACTAAGAGAGAACTTTCTACACTTAGTCGGTTGGGACTGGTATGTGCTCGAACATTCTAGATATTTCAGCGGAAAAAGCTTATATAAGGCCAGTAAAGGCTGCGACCCTTTTCTATATATGGTAGAGCCATGTTGCAGTTATTTTAGTATAGTTGTGGCACGAATGGGTCAGCTCGACCGGAGAAGTACTACGCTCTCACAGAATACCATCGTAAAATAGTGACTTTATGCTGTTGTGTTTCGTATGGTGAGTGAAGTGGAGACCCTTTTTACTGGAAACGTTGGAACGAAAAATTCCATCTTGGTCCTGGGTGACAACGCATCTGCATTTTGATTCTTGATCGAGTATAGATGTAGATGTCTATGGGCCACCGCAACCATTTACTATCGGGTGGACTGTGTGCTCGTTTGTCACCCTATCCTATAACAAAAACAAAGACCAAGTCAGTATTGAATTGGCAATTCAAGCGAATACTTTGAAGCGATATAACTGTGAATTGTGATTTATTATTAGTGTGTTTTAAGTTGTAGTTGGTGTTCAGTATATTAAATGTCACTTTTGGTTATTCAATCGACAGTTTTATTGCCTCGAACCATAAACTCGTAACAATATTATGACTGTACGAATAAGTCGGCTAAAACGGGACTAAACCAATATTTCACAGAATATAAGTAGGTATATAATATATATATATATATATATATATATATATATATAATATATATAATATAAACTACTGGCAACAAGTCGTACGGAACTTAATCCTCTGCGATGAAAACGCATATATATTTTGAGTCTCAGCTGAGAAAGGATTTAAGAGTATAAAGGCCATAGCGTCTACTAACTACTGGGAAGACTGTTAAATATCTAGTTAGAAGAGAATTTTTACTGCAAAGTAACAGAATAAAAAAGAAAAATATTTAAATCACTTCTAATGTTAGTCATTAACTCTTCGTATTTTGACTAACTAGTTGAGTCAATGCCATTTATTTGATAGATATCGCATTTTTGTACAATCTCAAAAGGTCTTAGAGTAAT